CTCTTCATAGCTCTCTTTGGTCTGTTTTGTTACATCTGTTCGACAGGTGCAAAAATACCTGTTAATCCTGCAAGCATTACCCTGAGCTGATAACTAACTGTGTCCTGTGCCTCTGCTGTACCGTTATCAGTCAGCATCATTTTCAGTTCTCTCTGAACTACAGACCACTGCCATCCTATGTTAGATGTTCTAGTGTGACAACACTACTCCTTCATAGACTGTGAGTGTTGTCACCCTAGGACAGGAGGTGTGTTTCAGCTGAGAAAATAAAGGGGAAAAAACCCTTAAAAAAAGGAATTCACTACATCTAAATCACTGGTAATTGCTAATTCTTCCCTCCAGCTACTGGTTAGGCACAATAAGCATTTCTAAATGTTTTCTAGATTATTTATACACTGGAGTCCCAGAATCTCAGGCGTTAATATATCATAGGCTTTCCTAGATCTATTTGTCTTTGACATATTTACATAGTCACTGAGCTGATTACTTACTAAAAGCCAACTCCTTAGACAACCATTATCTGAGATATGATGCGTAAAAGCACAGTTTCACATTTGGCCTTCGACACCAGCACATGTAAAGGGCTTTCTATTTTACCTGTACATCAATTCAATCCCTTCTTTGACATCTTAATTTAAAGTGATCACATCACACTAACTGGTGGTGATCAATATGTGGGGCAGACTATGTGAAAACTGGGAAGACATATCAGTGAGCACATATACAACATAAAAAAGGTCTACATAAACATAGTGTACCTTAACGTTTTAGGTAATGTCAGAAGGAAAGTCCTAAATGGCTCCAGTTATGGGGTATTGAAAAAATCTGATATTTGAAATCACCGTTAAATCCTTTTCTTTGAGTGTCATTAAGGGACACAGGATACAAAGACAACTGGGCTATAGTGATGCCTACAGGAGGTTTTGGACAAGGGCAAAGAAATCCAGCCTGGTTTAACCCCTTCATGACTGAGGCCTTTTTTTCATTTTTTTGTACCCATGTTATATTCCACATTTTAGGCCTGAAAATTACTTAAAACCCCCCAACATTATATATTTTCTGAATGCCAAGACCCTATAGAATAAAATGGTGGTAGTTGCAAATTTTTATGTTGCGCAATATTAGCGCAACTCCTTATTAAACCCCAATATTTAGTGAAAAATTTAATTAAATGCCCCAAAACACAACAAAATACCCATTTTTTTAATGAAATATAAAAGATGAGGTTACAACTAGTAAAACGATACCCAACATGCCCAGGTTACAAATTGCATGCATCCGTAAAACGGCGAAAAACCCCAGTACCCCAAAAAGTCCATACAAGACGCTTTAAAAGCCCCCACAGGTCATCAATTTAGAGATACCCCAAAATACTGGCCCTAGAATTATTGCCCTCACTCCGGCGTGCGCGGCGATACCCAACATGTGTAGCGCGTTCGTCGGTTTCATACATAGGCGCACCCGACGCGTGTTTATGTGGCGACGTGTGTGCTCGTGGGGGCGGGGGACTTTTAAAAATTGTTTTATCATTATTAGATTTAATTTATTTAAATTTAATTTAAAAAACTTTAATTTTTTTTTTTTTACTTTACTTTAAGAGAGGGATCGCTCAGCAGTGTGATCAGAGCAGTCTTAAAGAGCCCCCCGTCCCAGTCCACATCTTTCGGATGTTATTAATCTGAGTTGCCCCGCTCAGTATGCCCCTCGCTTGCGGCCATATTGAGTGGGGTACTAAGATTAATAATGTGCTGGATTAGTCTGACCCAGGGGCAGGGTGCCAATTACCCCCTGGGCCTCTCTGATACCTTTGCAAATGCCCCCCACCACCGCAAGGACTTCATCTCTCCCTCTTGGTCGCTGCAGCAGCAATGCGGCCGAGAGGGGAAGAGATTAAATGCTTACGGCGGCGGTGGGGGGCGTTTGCAAAGGTATCAGAGAGGCTTGACGGGCAATTGCAACCCTGCCCCCGGGGGAAAAAGACTGCGGCGGAGTCGAGAAGAGAATAAGAAGCTCCACTGCCATCGTCTGTACCCTCTTCGATTGGGCTCCTCGGTGGCCACAGCAGTTTCCTCCGCCCACCATTTTGTCATTAAAGGACTTTTTTCTGTAAATATATAAATAATAATATGTAAATATTGTGGTGTGCTGGTGAAAATTTTTACTACTTCTATATTGCTCACGGTGCCATCCGTGGTCGCTACAAGCACAGACCTACTTTGCAGGTTTACTACTTTTCCGGTAAGGATTGCAGCTGGTTTCCTATTATATGACACTGCGCGTCACGCTGCTGACCTCTGCACTGCGCGTCACGCTGCTGACCTCTGCACTGCGCGTCACGCTGCTGACCTCTGCACTGCGCGTCACGCTGCTGGCCTCTGCACTGCGCGTCACGCTGCTGACCTCTGCACTGCGCGTCACGCTGCTGACCTCTGCACTGCGCATTGTTACTGATATTTATACTCTGCGTCACACCGCTGACCTGGTGGAGTTAAGGCCTGGGCAGGGTAGGGGTTAGGTGGGCAACTGGTGGCAAGTAACTTTTCAGGCCTGGCTAGTAGTTTGGGACTTGCAATTTTGAGCCCTGATCTATGATATGTATAAAGGAACAGTTTTACATTCGGCCAGTAAGGACATCCAAAAGCAATCTGAGGGGTGGTTAACTCAGCAAACACAAACGCTAACAAACCCATCTAGAATAACAAAAAACAAAAATGGGAACTATCTGCAGCTCAAAATGCTGCCTGAAGGATCCTGAAAGCATAGTTGCCCTTTTGCAGCTAAATCGAGAACACCTATTTTATATTTGTTATATGTTCCCATTCACATAGCATAAGCTTGAGTTAGGGCTTCTTGTCTTCTTAAGGGTTAAAATTGCTACTTGCTTCTCCTTCTTTGCAAGTTAGGAGGGGTTGTGAGGTGCTTCTGCACTGTACGTTGATGAGAGAAACAGAATTCTCAAATTTCAGTCCTAAATCTTTCTATTAGGACAAATCACTGTGAAGGTGCTGATAAAAACACAGGTTGTGCTTGAGGCAACAAAACATGTAAAAGTTAAGATTTTTTTTTTTTTTATGTATTTTTTGTTATGCTTTGTGAAAAGGAACACACAAAAAAAACATATGAAGTGGGATTTTCTCAAATTTGACTACAGAAGTGGAAATACACTTGAAGCAGCATGGTAAACCGATCCTTGAGACAGAAGATCGGGCAGATCTGGAAGAGACGATGGAGCGTCTGTCAGGAGTCTGACCAAGTTAGTGTACCACATCCACCTGGGCCAGATAAAAGCTAGAACGGCTATGAATGACCGGGTGGATATCATACAGAATTTCGGGTACCGAATGAAGACATTCAGGGACTTGAAATACAAAATGGAGTCGATAGTCCCTTTTGGCTTTGGAAATGTGAAAAGGTTGTATAAGAACCCTTGAAAAGTTTTCAGTAAAGGAACTGGGACAATAATCCCTTGCTCCGGAAGATCCAACAGGGTTACAAGAATGTCTGCTAATTTGAGCGGTGACACAGAAAGATGGGAGAATATGAAGCGAGGTGGGTGTTGGGAACAGAGCTCTAGTTTGTATCCCACTGCAACCATCTCCCGTACCCAGGCACCTGACATGCTGTCCATCTTGATGTCCACAAATGCGAACATAAGTTCCCCATACTTTTTGCCTTAGAGGCCGAAGCTTGGGAGTAAATTCTTTTTGGTCTCGGAAGGGGTGATTTCTAGTCTGAAGCCTAGGCTCCTTCTGCCGGGGCTGAGGAATACTCTTACCCGAGTGACATCCTTGATGACTGTCCAGGGCAGCTTGAAAAGACGTTGTCCTTCGAAGGGCATGCCCAGTATACACTTTTTAATCTCTATTCTGCAGCCCAACATTTCACGCAAAGATTTCTCTGCATGATCACCAATAGGAGACCCACACAGGAAATAAGATGAGAGAGATCCAGTAACCCATGCACACAGTAGTTCAGGAATGTTATCATCTCTAATTGTTCCATGAATTGAGAATTGGCGTGGGGTTAAGCCAGATCCCTTGCCATGAGTTTTGTCCATTCCCCTAGTGTTTTACACACCAACATATTGGCCATGGCAGCTCGTAATGCAGGGCCTGCTAGGGAAAACAAGGGTATAGAGAGTTTCTAAACGTTTATCTATGGGATCTTTAAATACGGATGTATCCTCTACAGCAATCGTCAGTGCTTTGTTAAGGAAGGACACTGGTGGATCATCTATGGGAACTGCCCAATTTTTATTAAAGGCCCCCTCAAAGTATAGTTTATGATGAGTTTCCCAGTAAGTGAACAAAACATCTGGGAATGGTGTGCGCATGGGAAAAATGTTAGTCGTCTTAGGGCCTCTAAGGGATCCTAGAGAGGTAGCAGCACTGGTAGAAGTTATAGGCTGCTCCTCCATTGTTAGGTTTGCATGCACTACATCAATAAGAGTCAAAATGGTATCTCTTACTCTAGGACTGCATAGGCAGTTGAAAGGGCTCTCGAAAACCAGGGGGAAAAGGAGAGGTGCAAATGCAAATGTTAGATCATATTGTTTTTTGTTTCTTTTTAAACACTATAGGAGTACTTCAAATTAGAGTTTGGAAGCAGATATATCTATGTATCGGATTTGAAAACCATATACATAAGAAAGCCAATCAAAAAAGGAGTAAAGTCTGGCCAATGAGAGGGAAACACCAGGGTAGCCAGAAACATCACAAGCTGAACTGAACATATTCTAAGGAAGTGTAAAAGCATATAAGTTTTAACCAGAAATTTGTCTGGAAGCAAAAAAATTATGCAAAATACTAAATCCCTTTTAATATTTCAGAATGTGTAAAGTTTTTTACAATAAAATAATCTGTAATTAGATTTAGCAAAATACAAAAAATAAGTCCATGAGCAGTAGTTGTTATTAAACAGCTTAAATTTCACAACAGAAGAAAGACTGCTCCACAGTTCATATCCATTGTCTTAAGACAAAACAAAGTTTAAACACTCACATCTATTTAGGAAGTTGTCAATGTTCTTGTTTTTCCGCATAGCTGGGAAGTCTAAATCATAGACCATAGCATCCAGTCCATCCTGCAATACATCAGACAATGGTAAGCTGCTTTAAAAACATGGCATAACAAGACAATAAAACAAGAGAAAAGTAAAGCAATTTAATTATATCAGTCAATAAAATGGTACCAGTATGGACTCCTGTAATGGACTGCAAGCTCACATTTAGTTTACTAATTTGTATTGTGATTGTAGTCCATCACGGGAGTGAGCTTGGAGTGGTGGTTACTATACAACACACACAGGGACTATGGGGAACAAAAGTAGCCACCCTCCAGAAGACGGACAGTGTCAGCACCAATTCAGAGATGATTAGGAGGATCTGCAGCCGAGTTATACACAAGTAAGATACATTTTTGTTAATAGAGTACTTGAATGTATTTAAGGTTTAACTCCTGAGTTTAGTGTCACTTTAAAGTAACAAACTCAGGAGTTAAATCTCAACTCCATCTGAGACCAGGCGGTCATGGGCTCACCGCAGTCTATGACTGGACAGTGAAGGAGAAGCAGCACGATGAGCTAATTTCAGACAGACAGACAGAAGCCATAACTTAAAAGTGACACTAAACTCAGGACTTGAATTTGCAAAATGCATTCAAGTACTTTAACTATTAACAAAAATGTATCTTATTTGTGTATCACCCGGCTGTAGATCCTCAAATCATCTCTGAATTGGCGCTGACACTGTCCTTCCTTCTGGAGGGTGGATACTTTTGTTCCCTATGGTCCCTGTGTGTGTTTTAAAGTAGCCACAGCTCCAAGCTCACTCCTGGCTCCATTCACATATAGCATTTGTGTTTCCATTGTGGTATTCCGTGCAGAAGACCGCACGGGACACAAATGCTATATGTTAAACAACTGCACGGATTTAGCTCATTTGCAGCCATTATATAGCCGCGAACGTGCAGAATCAGTCGGATTATTGCGCTTGCACGGTTTTGGGTACCGTGCGGTCTCCGCAATAGTCTCAACAATGCACATTGAAGTGCGTTGTTTTGTGTGTGTGTGGAGCGGCTCCGTGCATATTCGGCAGACAGCCGCCCCAGTGTGAATAGAGCCTTATAGACTACGATCTCAATATAAATTAGTAAAATAAATGAGATTGTAGTCCATCACGGGAGTGAGCTTGGAGCGGTGGCTACTTTACAACACACACAGGGACCATGGGAGACAAAAGTAGCCACCCTCCAGAAGGAAGGACAGTGTCAGCACCAATTCAGGGATGATTTGAGGATCTACATATGGCTGATACACAAATAAGATATAGTATTATTAGTTAGGGTACTTGAATGTATTTTTAAGATATAACTCCTGAGTTTAATGTCACTAACACTTTGCATGCTCTTATAACTGCTTCAAGTAATACAAAACATGGCAGTTACAGCCAGGCTAAAGGCAATGAAAAAACTGTCTTTGTAGTTTGGCCTGGGCTGCCAAATTTTGTGCCACCCAACTACCATTTAACACCCGAGAGAAAGTAGCAAGGAGCACTACAGCAACCAAAAACTATTAAACACATTTAAAATAAAGAATAGAATACAGGATCTATTTGTGTTAATGTGATTAGAATACCAGAGTTCAGGCAGTTTCTGCAGAGTAAAGTGCTGTAAAATGTCATTTCCAATTACAGCTTTAATGTATTTGATCTGTTTACAGTGTTTTATTCATTGAACTGTAGATCATGGTGGAGTTACATGGTAAACAAAAACACAAAACAGTTTTTCTAAGAATATAGTTCAGAATAAACCCCCAAAAATCCCCATTTTAAACTTGGTTGAACTTTCACTTCTTTAAATGAATGAAGGGTAGAATCAGTAGGTGTAGGTCTCCCAATGCAGAAATGGAAATGAGCAAAGAACGCAGAGCTCCTTCACACAAACATTCAAATAAAATGTAGAGTTGCAGCTAAATAAATGAGAAAAGTTCCTCATTTTAATACACTAGGCACTGCAAAAGATACAACATCCAAGTGATGATTGCAGTAACCTCCTGGAAGGTGACTGTTATAAACACCGTAAAGCAATAAAGCTGCAAATATGCAACAGTAACTCTTTTAGAAAAAACTAAAATAAAACCAGAAATAAGAATCATACTACTCATACTGATCACTTCATATAAAACACTAAAAAGAGAACTATGGGGTAAGTGTTTCTTCCCAAAGTTCTCTTTAGGGTCACGGGAGGACAAACACTAGCGTCCTCCCATGACCCAAAGCTCAGTATATAGCAAACTATTGTCCACGATATACTGAGAGCACCACAGCCAAGATGGATCCTGACAAAACTGCCGAGATTCACCCAGCTGCGTGAGTGACAGCTGGCTCTGCCTATCTAGAGGCAGAGCCAGCTGTGCCCGCCCCTGCCCCGTTCGTTCCTCCAGTCAGTGCTGGAAGATCGGAGAGGGGAGGGGGAATCCCTGTGGGGAGCCGTGACTGACAGTTACCGCTCACTGCAGGGAGACGATCGAGAAGTGAGCAGATCGTTGTATGTTTCTGCTCACTTCCCGATAAATAGAGCCGACCTGTGACAATTTCCTTGTCACAGGTCGGCTCTATGAGGATGAGTGGAAATCCCTCACCTCCATAGATCTCCTTGAAAGCAGACAGTTAAACGTTAAAGCTAAGAAGCCCCCTATGTAATAGCCAATTTACATGACAGGTCCTCTTTATGGAGACATCAGGGGTCTCCAAAACCCCTGTCACCTAGGACCCCCAGAGAAGCTGATGAAGCAGAGAACGGCTTCATCAGCTTCTCTAGCTGGAGAGTGACAGTAAATGCAGGAAGTGATGTAATCTACATCACTTCCTGCATTCGAGGACTGAGAGAAGATCAAAGGGAGTTCGTACACTGAACTCCCCTTTGATCTCCTGTCACAGAGCCGTGCCGGTCCCGGCCGCATCGGGCACAGCGAATCTTGGGACCGGCAGTGACAGCTGCTAATACAAGCGATCAAGCGTGTCTAGAGACGCCCGATCACGTGAATGTAAAGCTCCCGGCCGGCCGTGTAATTACAACGGCCGGCCAGGAAGCTGCTCGTCGGGCTCCGCCGTCCTCTCGTCGCGGACGAGTGGATTTTTCAAGCCCTGGCTATTAGTATAATGCAAAGAACCGAGTTTGCTCAATTCCAGCAACCACCACACATGTAACCATTCCCAAGTACGCGGTTCTATGCCTTCTAAGCTCAGACTGCTAGCCTCTCTGGGTGCAGCTGGTGTAGAAAATCGAACTTCACTTGTTTTGATTAAATCTTTACACTTACCCATTTTTTCTGCTTCCAACAAATCAACTTCAAGGACAACATTTTTACTTGCTGCTTAATATATTCCACCCACTTGCAGGTGCCATTCTAACATAATCAATGTTATTCACTTCACCTATCAGTGTTTATAATGTAATGGCTAATTAGTGTAGGCATATGGACATTATCTAAAGTTGAACTCCAGGATGTATATTGCATATAAACTTACATCAGTCCAGCTTGGCTTGATGTAAGTATGGATATCTGATATCTGGAGGGCTGTTGGGGATGCTGACAATCACTGTAGTCGTCTGTACTACATACAGTGATAGCCGTGATCTTCTGGCTGATTCCCCTCTGCATACTGAAGGCAGTTGCTCACTCGGCATCACCATTCACATAATGGCTTGTATATTTTTCAGTGAATAAAAGGTATTCTCTGATTGGACCAGATGGGGAGGGCAGGCGGATGACTTTATGATAGAACTATACAAAACATGGCTTAGGATTTGTACATGGCGTTTACAAAAGACTTTGCAAAGCTTTCAGCCAGCTTCAGTTTTTTTTTTTTAAACCTTCAATGGACGTAAACATTATTCATTCTGTGGATCTGTGTTTTGTGAACCTTTCCTGCTTCTTCTTGAATATTACCTCCACCAGTCATCAGATCACTAGTCATCAGTCAGGCTGCTCTTACAAGGAAGCAATGCCCTGCCTCTACCAAGATGGAGGCTTCTAAAAAGAGATGTTGCAGAATATGGCATGAGAAGTTAGAAATGGGGAAAAGATCAGCTATTCTATGGACAATACTGGTAAATACAGGTGCTTCCACAGTTCTGACAGACCCATTTGGTGGAAGTGGTGGTCTCCGCATAGGTCTGACAGACCTCATCTGTATGGAAGCGGTGGTCTCTGTAAAGGTCTGCTGGCCCCCGTCTGTGTGAAAGCGGTGGTCTCTGCCGAGGTCTGACAGACCTCCCCTCTATGTGAAAGCTGTGGTCTCTGCAGAGGTCCGACAAACCTCCTCTGTATGCAAGCTGTGGTCTCTGCAGAGCTCTGACAGACCCCCTCTATGTGAAAGCTGTGGTCTCTGCAGAGGTCTGACAGACCTCCTATGTATGGAAGCGGTAGTCTCTGTAGAGGTCTGGCAGACCTCCTCTATGTGAAAGCCGTGGTCTCTGCAGAGGTCTAACAGATCCTCTTGCAAGGCAGAGCCAAAGCTCTTGGATCAGCATCTGATCAACATGGAAACATTAAAAGTAATGCAGTTGGCATTCAGATTCAGGTAAAACTAATAAAAAGATGGGACTCAACTATTTTTAAATTTAAAATAGTTATAATTAAAACCAACGGCTATGTTATTATTAATCTGAACACCATGAATGAGGTTTGGATGGATAAAGCAACTTAGAGTACATAAAAACAAACAATACTACACTTGTGAACTACAGTCCCAGAAAAGTTTCCAGGCTTCCAAAGATAACAAAATTCCTGGAGTGACTGATGGCAGCAAAGTGCTGAATGGCGCTACATTATAGAACATTGTGCTCTTTCTCTTTGAAATCACTTATGGGAAATAAAAAATGATATCCTAAGCAGCCAGCACACAAAATATTTGCCTGGTTGGGAAGAAACCTGATTAAAAGATAATTTTTTCACATATATTTACAAAAGAGCAAACATCAATGGTTCAGCTAGTGGCCCCAGGGTCCTGGAGTAAGGCCTGAGCTGGCTGCCCAAACCTTCCATCATTCTCCTCTTGGCCTACTGTAAAAGGTAACACC